GAGACAAGGATCACCTATCACAGTAACTACAAAATGTATGGACAGAGGGGAGGAGGGCAGCTGGGTTTGTGGGTCTACAGCCTCCTCCCCATCTGCCCTTCCCATCTGCCTTCCAGGCTGCGGATATCCTACTTAATTTGCTGTTTGTGATGCATTTTTCAGCAGAATCTTCTTGTTTGGAGTGAAAGAGGGTGTGGGAGGACAGGCATGGGGGTTGCTTGTATTCCCCTGGTGAGCTTGAGTAAGGTCTCGAAGGGAGAGGGTATTGGTAGCACAGGGCTCTGGGGTCCAGAAGCCATCATACTGTTTCCTAGAACCCTCTCTCTGTTAGCACGAATTCTCATTTCAAGAATCCTCTGACCCCTCTTGGGGGAGTATTTGTAGCCCCAAAGAGAGTAAAAGCTTCCTATTTCCAGTTGTTAGTGTTCAAGAAAAAAGTCTGTTTTCATTGACTGAAACAAGAGAAAGCAGTTGATGACATAATAATTTATATTTCCTATAGAGAAACTCAGAGCAAAGTTTAAAGAAGTGAAGACTAGGAGAAGATATTTGCACTACATGTAACAGACAAAGATTTATAGCCATAATACGTAAAGACTGCTTACAAATAAATGAGAAAGAAATAAATGAGAAAACTACAAATAAGCTAATGTGATTATGAAGAAGAAAAATATAAATTACCAATAATCATACGGAAAGATCTAAAATTACCAGAAATTGGGTAAATACAAATAAAACAAGATATGTATTTTTGCCCTTTAGATTTGTATCAATACAAATGAAAAGGGTGAGTGTTCAGCCGAAACCGGTTTGGCTCAGTGAATAGAGCGTCGGTCTGCGGACTGAAAGGTCCCAGGTTCGATTCCGTTTGAGGGCATGTACATTGGTTGCGGGCACATCCTCAGTGGGGGGTGTGCAAGAGGCAGCTGGTCGATGTTTCTCTCTCATTGACATTTCTAACTCTCTTTACCTCTCTCCTCCTCTCTGTAAAAAATCAATAAAATATATTTAAAAAAAGAAAAAGAAAAAGAAAAGAAAAGAAAAGGGTGAGTGTTCAGTATTAATGAAGATGTGAGGAGCAGGCCCTCTCTTTGGCAAGGGCCTTTTTATAAAACAGGGTCACCGAGGCCATGAGCATTTAAAAGGAATTTCCTTGACCCAGAAATTTCAATTTTAGGAATTTTCCTGTAGGGATACTTACAAATGTGGGTCAACACACACATTGATTCCCACACACATATATATGTACACACAATCTTTGGGTCATAATAGGAAAGAAAAAAAAAAGGAAGAAGAAACTACCTAAACATCCATCAAGTGGAAAAATATAAGTTCTAGTATATTTGTATTCTGGAAGAATAACCTCTATAAAGACTGAGGTTGGTCTCTATATATTCTTATTTAAGATGTCTGTGATGTAGTAAGTGAAAAAAACTAGAACAATGTTTGTACAATGATTCCATTCATTAATAAGAAGAAAGCCCTTATTCAATAGGCACATGTACAAATACACACAATGGGTGAACTGTGCCCCCCACCCCCAGGACAGCATGGCCCATAAAGGGGAACTTTTACATTGTACACTATTTCATTCTATATCGCTTAAATTTTAAAGGTCATTTTTATAATAAAAATTCTTTTCAAATGGAACACAACAAATATGCCCAAATATGTCCATAGAATTATGAAAATGTAATTGGGTTACTCTGCTGTGAATGGGTGTCTGCATAGCTTTCCATATTCAGGGAAAGGTGACCTAGGCAGACGCTCTGCAAGTGGAGGGTTAGCTCAGGAAGACTTTGTGTGAGATCCCTCACTGTGGCTACCACCTTCCCCTCTTCCCATGGCTATGAAGCAATGACGTTTTCTTAGGAAACAAAAACACTTGTCAATTTCAGGGCAGGATTTAACCTGAGAGGCAATTTATGAACATACTGCTGTTCATCTACAAAATAAAAATAAAGATTAGTAAAACAAGGCATTATTTTGGGTTCAGTCTTTTTTTTTTTTTTAATCCTTACCTGAGGATGTGTTGTTTTTTAATTGATTTCATAGAGAGGAAGGGGGAGAGAGAGTGTGTGAGACCTTAATCGATTGCCTCCCTGCACACAATCCAACCAGGGATCTAACCCACAACCTAAGTATGTGCCTGGACGGGGAATTAAACCTGCAATTTTTTGGTGTAAGGGACAATGCTCCAACCAGCTGAGCCACCCAGCCAGGGCTGGGTTGTCTTCATGCTACCTTGGCCACCTTTGACCTAAGCAGAATCAACCCCCTGCTTGGGTCAGTGACTGCCTCTCACTGGGGTGATAGTCCTTGGGTTGGCAGCTCACCCCTCTGCACATATCCTCACAGCTGCTGAGTCGCACTCCTCTGTTCGCTGGCCAATGCAGGCCTCGGTCCTGTCAGCAGTAGTGTCCTCGCAGGGGCACACCTGCACAGGTGGAGCCATGTGTCCCAGAAGAGAGGTCTTGGCCTCAACATGGGTGCTCCAGACTCATTCATTGATTCCTCTTAGTGATGAAGTCACTTAACTACCTGACAGGCACCGCCCATGCCTGACACCAAAAGCACAAGATAAATAGACATAGGTTTCCAATCATAGTTTCCTGTGAAAGGCAGACAGTCAACAAGTGGCCAAGAAAGGGATCCATCGCATGGTCGCACAGGCACCATGTGACGTGGGCACCAAAAAGACATGGGGTGTCCTGGACATGGAAATGTTATATGCAAAGGCAGTATTTCTGGGTTCACATGCATGTCACACACCCCACAGCCTTTGAGGATAAATGAGGTCACATTTATATCTGAATGTTCCTAGACTATTCCCTCTGATGGAGAGGAATTTCGGTCTTTTCCAGGAGGCTCCTAGCATGAAGGCTTCTGATAGTCCCTGGGAGGGGGTTGGGTGCACATAAATTCCCCATAGGAAGTAGATGCTGAAGCCCTCAGGGATGAACTGGGCACCCAGGGCCTCCAGAGGACTTGCCAAGTCAGCCATTGGACCTCACGGTGTGCAGAGCGGTGACACGAGGAAGGGGAGGTGGGGAGCTTGGGTCCTGCTGACTGCCAGCCTCTAGAGCCACTCAGGGCATTGCTGCCCGAACCTCCTCAGTCAGCCATGCCCCCTGGGATCTGCCCTTTTACTGCCAGCTAGTGGTGTACCCAGAAAACCTACCTGGCCTTAATTGCTCCCCACCTGGAGCTCAGCAGTTCCGTTCTCTCACACTCAGCTCTCCACTCTCTAAGGCGCACCTCTGAACCAACGGCCAGTCAGGCCCAGTGCCAAATGCAGTCATGCCCAGTCCAGAGGGCGCTATGTAAAGCTCCATGCCCTCAGCTATGTGGGGACCAAGGACAGGAGTGGAGGACACTGCTACAGGGCAGGGCACGGTGGAATTCAGGAAGACCCTCCATCTATCCCCATTTTCAGGGTGCGGATGGTGGAGGCACACAGCTGCAAATACTAGGGGGGAGGTGCTATCCAGTCCCCTTTTACGTATCCCAAGTGGCCATCATGCTTCCTGATTGGCCAGTGGCCTAAGTCCTGCTGCAGCAAGAGGGTGTACATTGTGCACATGTGTACATGTGTGCGCATGCCTTGTATGCATGTGTACCCATACAGGGGTGTATTTGTATGCCTGTGTGCATGAATGCATTGTGCCCATGTGTGTATGTCCACACATGTGCTTTTGTGTGCATGCATGCATGTGTGTCTCTGTGTGTGCATATATATGTGTATATGAGCGTGCATGCCTGTATGTGTGGCAAGTGTGACGCAGTAGCATAGTTGAGAGAGTTCTCCCCTCTGTCTCTTGCCCTTCATTATACCCCATGCCTCCCCACCTCACAGCAAAAGTCAGGCACTGTGCTCCTCGCTGTCCTCCTGAGCCTCTCGCCCTTTAACGTGATGCCCCTGTGCAGACAATCACTTCCTCTGAGCGTGCGGAGACTCAGGAAAACAGGTAGCCAACACTCAGCAGTCTACGAGCTGGAGGCCGGGAAGCAGAAAGTCTGGGTTCTGCAGCTGCCCTTGGGCACTGAGCCTCTGCTCCTCCCTGCGAACGGAAGGGCTTGAGCCACCTCCCTCTAATTGACAGCTCGCCGTGCTGTTCTTCCAGAGCAGCTCCGAGGCACTACCCTTGTGTGTGAAGCATGTGTTAATGGCATTTAGACCATCTCTTTCATGACAGTGTCAGGGCCCATGGTGACCTGACTGCTCATAAAGTGCGGTCCCCGTGGAGTTCAGCACAGTGATGGATCTTCTAAATTACTTCTAAAGGCAGCGGCCTTGAGGTGGGAGTACATTATCAACATAGGTTTTCTCTTCAGTGTGTACCATGTGGGTCCTGCGTGAGATGTGCTTTGGGAAACTCAGCCATGAAGATGGGTTTAACTTTCTCAGAGAGATTACACTGGGAGGAACGGCTTCGGTTTTGAGAGACTTTCTTAACTCCCCTACAGGTGGGGGCATCGTCTGGCAGGAACAGGGTTTAGGTAATGGAGACGCTGAGCTTTTCATACCCAACAGATGGCCCTTGTGGGCTGGCCTGCCCAGTAGGCAGGGGCAGCCCGTGTGTCCACTAGCCTGTGGCATACGCACTGGACTGGTCTTTGCATTTCCCGTGTGAAATAGTGTCAGTTACAGCATCGCACCTCCAGAGGTCTCTTGGGGCCAAGGGAATACATTGTCCTCTGGTTCTTCTCATTATAACATTGCAAAGGCAGATTTGCCTGAGCACCAAGGTTAGGCCGAGACCACAGGTCTGCCTGGCTCTCCTCTTTTTGAAATGTTATTAGAATGTCAAAGTCCGGCAGTGGCCTTGGGCGGCAGGCCTGGGGAAAAACAGCTTCTCTCTCATGAGATTCTCATGCGGAGCGGATTCATGCAAGAGGCCTCCAGTGCCCGGGGTTGTCCTGTCAGAGGGCCTCACGGAGACGGGGGCTGGGGAGCTGAGGGCAGCACGTGGTTCATACGGCTTCCTCTTCCTTCGCAGCGGAGCTGGAGTTCGCCCAGATCATCATCATCATTGTGGTGGTCACAGTGATGGTCGTGGTCATCGTCTGCCTGCTGAATCACTACAAGGTGTCCACGCGGTCTTTCATCAACCGTCCGAGTCAGAGCCGGAGGCAAGAGGACCGGCTGCAGCAGGTAAGCGAGGGCCCGTGCCTCCCCGGTGCTGCCCAGGCCTCTGGCCCTCTGGCCCTCTGGCCCGGGCTCCAAGAGTGCGGCCGGGTGCCCGTGAGGGCCACAGAGCAGGACAGCCTCCCGTGTCAGCCACTGCTGTTCAGAGTATGGGAAACTCTCCATTGAAGGTCACTACACTCGTGGGAAAGCATGTGCATCCTGAATGCTCAGCTCAGTGATCCCCACAAACTGGGCACCCCTGGGTAACCTGCACCCGAGCTCAGAGGGACAGGAGCCGCCTCTAGAAACACACCCAGGCCCAGGCATGCCCCAGAAGGTCACCTCGGCCCCCAGGGCTATCAGTACAGATGACTTTCACCAGCTTGAATGCGATAACAATAGGCTTATACAATAGGTGCCCTTTGGTGTCCGCCTTCTTCCGCTCACATCACACGTGCGAGATGCATCCGTGTGGTTATGGAGAGACCTGTCCTTGAATACACATATGCTCATGACCTGTATTTGTAAGATTCCGAGGAGGTCAGCAGTGCCAGGTGTGGGTGAGCTGGAGGGGTGGCGGTGGGACAGCGAGGGCTCGGGGCCTCCTCAGGTGCCTCAGGGCAGGTTGGTTTGTGTTGGGGCTTACGGAACAGCCTTTAGTAAGGCTCTTCAGGTTGGTTTTTTAAAGTTTCTAGCTACTTCTGAACCACCCTCCTCTAGAAAACAGAACACTGATATTCAGCTGAGCTGCTCTGTGATCTGTGCCTGGTAGACCAAGGGCCACAGGAACTCTCTGTTCTGAGCTAGTTTTGCAAACTATGATTCTGGTGGGTTTTAGTTTTTTTATTTTATTTTATTATATATTTTTTTCTTCTTCTTTTATTGATTTTAGACAAAGGAAAGGAGAATAAGAAAGAGAGAGAAACATTGATGTGAGAGAGAAACATGGATCAGTTGCCTCCCACACGCGCCCTGACTGGGGATTGAACCTGAAACCTGGGTTTGTGCCCTGACTGGGAATCGAACCCACCACCTTTTGCTGTATAGGATGGCACTTCAACCAATTGAGCAGCCTGGCCAGGACTTATTCTGGTGATTTCTCGTGAAGTTTGGAAATAGGAAATTTAGGTGCTTATAAATTGTTAACTTTGATGGTGGGCAAAGGAGGCAGAATTCCCACATAATATGAGTTCCTCAGAGTATGTGTCAGGACCAGAGCTGTCTGGTACCTGGCTTAGGTAGACCATCGTGAGTGTGGGGTGCAACTGTCCTAGTGAGTATGGTGCAGCCCAACCCAGGGACCCTGGGACCTCTTAGGAGGTCAGAGTCGTGCTTCATTGGGCTGCAGGGTGGCTCAGTAAGCCATCAGTTCTGCTGTTCCCATGGGTAGAACCCCGGTTTGCCAAGGGTTCTGTGTCCATGGCATGCAGAGGGAGAGCAAAGGGATGGGGCTTTTGTGTGCCACCCTTCAGACCAGGAGAGCATGCCATGACCGTGACCAGAATCACTTTCTCTAGTCCTCTGCTGTCCCCTTCCTCCTTCTCACCAGATCCCCAGCTCGGTCCACAGGTTAACATGGCTTGCATCACAGCACGATGGCTTTCCTGTGGGCCTCCTGTTATCCCAGCAACCCGGCACCTGCTGGATCCAGACTCACAGGACACTGGTGTCCTAAGCCTGTAGATCCCCTCCCCCCCCCCACACACACACACACACACACACACACACACACACACACACACTGTTACCTGAAGGAGAGAACCAATTCCTTTGAAGTTCTAACACATAATCCTCTTGAGTTTAAAGAGAGAGGGGCCAGTCACAGCAGTAGTTTTAGAACTACAAAAGAATTGGCCAGCATTGCTTGGCCTACGTCTTAATGCGAGGACTATAAATTCCGACCCCTGGCCTTGGGGAGAAATAGGTAAAATTTATCCCACTCATTACCATCATCAATAGGCAGCTCTCAAGTTTCTGGGCAGTACCTGCCATGAATGTGTCCAAGTTCACCATCTTACACTTTCTGCCTCAAGCCCCGAAGTACTTGGAGTCGCTGTACCTGGGCAACTCAGGCTGCATTTGCTGTTGCCCAGCCTGGGCCCCATCACCTCATCCTCCCCTCAGATTTGCTTTAGGGATCCTCTTTCTTCCCCTGCCTTGCCTTGTCTTGCCTCAGATAGGAGAGTTGGCTCCTTCCTCCACACCTCAGCACAGACCTGGCCAGGCCTCCTCTCACTGTGCCAGCCATTGTTGCCTTAGCGCCTGCTCACTGGTCTCTGTCCCCAGACTGGGAGCTCCCTGCCAGGTCAGCACACAGAAAGTCACTCTGAGTAAGGACCAGCAAAGAGGGGTGGCAGGAAAACAATTTTACAAAAAGAGAAAGTAAAAAAATGCAAGTGTGGTTTTACTTGGGATGTGTGTTCTGTTTCATTTGGAAGTGGGTCCCCGTGGGTAGCAGGGCCTCCTGTCCTCGAAATCAAGAAAGCAATGAAGTGACTTTCAGAGGTTCCTTCAGGGCCACACGCTGCATGGCAAGTGAAGGTAATCAGTAGCGAAGATCGTGTCTGCAGAGGTCTTGATCACCGTCTGTGTCTAATTTTGTTAATAAACGCTTGAAAGTTTTGCCCCTGGGAGCTCCCAAGGCTTCCCAAGGCTTGAATTTTCTTTCCCAATAAAATGGGAGTGTGGATATTGTGCAGCTTAGCAATGGGCTCTGTTCAATGTTTCATAAGCTCAAGATGGAGTTTTCACACAGGGACCACGACAATTCAGGCCCAGACTGTAGCTCCATTTCATGACTAGGACCATTAGCCTAATTTATAGTCGAGAGAAGAAAGAGAGAGGGTGAGGAAGCACCTTGACTTCTCTCCTGGACTCAGAAATCTCAGGTCCGGTCCTTTGGCCCAGGAAGGTGCTTCCTCACCAGGCTTCCTGCCTCCCAATAACCTTCTTAGGAATGCCAGTTCCCTTCCTGCAGCACCAGGAGAGCAATCAGATTCATTTCCGCTCGTGTCCCCCACCAGCGGTGATTTGCCTTCTAGGGGACATTTGACGATTTGGGCAACTCCAGCCAGGGAGTTGCTACGGGGATGCTCTAAACATCTTGCAATGCAGAGGGCAGCCCCACAACAAAAATGATCTGACCCCAAATGTCAGCAGTGCTGAGTGGGGAGCCCTGATCTGACCGGGTGCTAGATGCCACCCTTCCCAGGGCACTTGAAGAGGATGCCTGTTCATATAAGTGGATCTCTCATGGCTTCCACAGAGTGAACACTCCCCAGCAGCTCGGCAGAAAATGTTGTGGGTCCACAGAGAAATTGTATGGTTTAGATGGTTCTCGTCTAGGACTCTGCCTTGGGAGAAGTTTCCCTCCACCGGCTTCTGCCTCCTCCTTTCATTCGGTCATCCACCGGGCAGGAGCCAGGCACTGCCCAAGACAATGAAGGTGTCCTTGCCGTGCTCTGCTCTTGCCCTGTCCTCATCACCATCAGTGGCATCCACTACGCTAAGGCTAACTGGCATTTTCTCAGCCTCACTGCAATGGCCGTTGGTGTGTGTGCCCTGGGGTGTGTATCACGTGGATATAAACTGTAGCAGGGATTTGGGATGGGGCATGAGGACTCGGCATGGGCACTTTCATGTTGTCCCTCCAGGAAGGTGGCTTTCCCTCCACATCTCAAGGTGCCAAGCAGCCTCCTCCTCTTAGGGGCCGAGAAGAGCTAGGTCCAGGCTTGGCTGGTGATGGGGAAGGCCCTGCTCTCACTGATAAAACATGAGTGATGGCCCCTGGGCCCCCCTTGGGGTGGTGAAGATGGATAGGTGTTTGCGGTGAATGCTGTGCATGTGGTTTCGTGTCTGTTGTCAGAGCCCCTGAGTGCCTTTCACTTTGTTGGCATCTAATTCCTGCCATCCCAGCGGCCTGAGTGGCCGGTTAGCAACTTGTGGGTGTGGGTGCCCACTGCCGCCCTCCCTGTGGGTGAGCCTGTGTATGGCTGGGACCCACTTACTTCTGGGGGCCCTTTGGGCCCATTTGTTCTAGAACTATCTGAGGTCTCCATAAGCATGTTTGTAAAAGGTGTATTTATTTTAGATGCTGCGAGAAGGGCTGGGCATCTAGGTAATTTGGTTGAACACTTGATTAAATTTATTTGTACCTATTTCTGCCGGAAGACTCGGTAGTCAGGATGGAGAAACCAAAGATAACAGTTGTGTTTGTGTTGAGAAGGAAGCTTGCTGAGCATGTAGCTGTTACGATCTGGCTGAGTAAACTTCACTGCGCTGGTGGAGCGGCCCCTCTCCTCCCACCCAGCCAGAGGCAGGGCAGGCTCCTAAGTTAGGGTCTCAGTAACTCCGAACATCCCTGGTTTTCACAGAGCCTTCTGGAAAGTGGTAGGTTGGACCAGTTGTCCGGGCTTGTCCAGATTCTGGAGTGTTTTCTCTGTATGATGCCCTCATGCCCGACTCCATCACGCCCCGTCTTCCTCATGCAGCACCTCTCTCCTGGTTTCCTCCCTTCTCGCTCCAGCACTGCCCGCTGGAAGAACACCCTCTCTTGCCAGGTGCCCTCTGCCCAAGGGAGGACAGGTGGAGTTTGCCTTGGCTGAGGCCGGTGAGCCTGCATCCCACAGTGTCCCTGAGGTGCTGTTCCGGGGAGCCCGGGGGTGGGGCAGCACTGGTTCTGACTGTAGAGGAATAAGCCATTTCTGAATGAAATGAAATTGCAGGAAAAGCAAATGCTTTAAAACAGTGGTGAGTGGGCTTGGGATGAAGACCTGATGTGTTCTCTCTGAGGTAGCCCAGGCTTATTTTTCAGAGCCTGGTTTGTGTGATTTCAGAGCTTTGAGACTTTCTAGATTATTCACTACCTTAGGCCACCAAGTAACAGGAAGGCAATAGAGGGGCATAAATAATCCAGACACAACCCTGAGAGCAGTTTACATAAGCCTTTCTTCCCACAGCTGGCAGAGACCTGAGTGGCCTTCCCTAACACCCTGTACCCAGCCCGGCGGGGCTGGCTTAACCCA